AGGCAACAGAAACTAGGGGAATTTCATAGATATAGTTGGAGTAAATTTGTTTCTTAAATTTTTTTATCTTATTTTGTTTTATTATTTTAGTTTAGTTTGGTTTTATTTTTATGTACCTATTCCATCCAGTTTTGGTTATTTGAATAGCCGTTGTACAGTCTTTAGTTGTCATACCATCTAAATGTGGACATAAAGCACAAACAGGAAAACACTTGTGACTCACCTGGTGGTTGGTGTTGAGCACGGAAAGGAGACGGTCCCAGTTATCAGGATCGTAGTTCACCCTGAAGTATCCAGATACATTTGTGTTTGCGAGTACCCAGTCCTGTCCTGACACTCTCATCGGAATATGAGTGTCTAGTTAAACAAAAGAAAAGAACGATTTGATTAATTTAATGAGCTGTGGTTAAACCAACTAGTCTAGTAGGAAATGTCTTGTTTTTTAGTCTGTATGCAGAACTAATACAGCACCATGATATGAGTGAACCTGTTTTTTGTAGGAGCCAGTATTGTGGCTGCTGCACACCCCTCTTCATCCATTTGATAGGGACATACCAGGTGTAACTAGACAGAAAAGACATAATGGGAAAAGAATAAAGATAATTTATTGTTTGTCATTTCCATATTACGATTTCACTGCTGGTGGGTACACTGGATTAATACATCAGATTCTTATTGGCTGCTGTCGGAAACAAATCAGCTTAGGCAGAAGAAACACAAACAAATCAGAGTCACATCTCATGTCAGCAACACACGACATCAGCCCCTTTGATGTGAACGAGAAGCAGGAGCCTAAAGCACATATGTGTAAGTGCAGCCCCTTCATTTCTCATCTGAGTGAAACTTGCACCACAAGGTTAAACAGTTTCCTACTTGAACTGAGAGGGTCTGTCCACTGTAGAGTCTGGATCCAACAGGAAGTGTTTCTGTGTGACACTTCCTGTCCGGGTGTCAACAGTGACGACTGGGTAGCCCATCTGGAGCGTCCAGCGGTTCATGATATTTTCCACAGAGTGTGGAATATGTATTCCTGGTGTGTTTTCAACTGCCTGACAACACACACACACACACACACTAAGCAGGAAATTAAGATAATTGCACACACCCAAAAAACACAATACCAGTGAAGTCGTGCAGGTTGACCAACCTGTTGGAGATGATCCCACAGGTCTGTATACACAGTGTTACCAAAAGCGAATGTGTTCAGGTAAGACTGAAGACACAAAACGGAGATGAGGATCATATGATGCAATCACGAGGAAAGGAATATAGTGGGAATTTACCAGGAAACATTTTTTGGCTTAAATAACCACAGACACAGCATCATTAATTCCTAGTCTGCTGACAGTCGCACACACATTACGGCAGCAGAGATGAAGT